CTTAGTTTTATTTTCTAGGCACTATGGATAGTAAACAGCATACTCATAACGAGATACTTTCATTAGTACGGTGAGATCCGCATCTGAGAAGTTTCCAAACTTGGTTCTGTCCACTGTGTGTGCCACAGTATTGTCTGGGGGTGATTTGCATGGATGATTGCAAAAATACTACATTACGAAACTCCCCTCCAATCTTTTTCTTATGGAAAAGACACTAAAAAGCATATGCAAATAACACGGTGCTTTCTGAAGCAATATACTCCCACTATGGATGTAGCAAGGAGAGTTTTTTTGTTTGTTTTGCATAGTTTGTTTTATTTTTAGCATCAATCTGGTTGCCAAAAAACAGCCTCCCAGTGTGAGTGAAAACAGTGCAGTTCAACTGAGTGTGCAGTCTGGGTCTCACAGAGGAATGAATATCAAAGCAGCAGAAACACCACGAAACAGTTTTCTTAGCAGATACTGCTGTGAGGATGTTCTTACTACACCTTGACGGAAGAGCTGAACAGCAAAATGTTACGTAGAAGTGCCAGCAATCTTATTACTCGTTTGTAGTTTGGGTTAGAGCATTGTAAGAAGAGGAATGAAGGACAAACATTCTGGCTGGCACCCGCTGTGCTAATGGAAAACATGACAAACACCACTTTACCATCAACTGCTCATCACCAGCACTCTAGGGCGAGGTGCCCCATCCAGCAGGCTGTTGGATAAACCCTTCATAGGAGCATTTCTTTGCCTAGTCCGCTCCAAGTGATCTGGTGTGCCACTATTTCGGCTCTTTGAACTAATCAGTCTCAAATTAATGGTAGTAAACCCCAGAGCATGGTCCTGAGTTACTCATCTGAGATCTGTGATGCAACACAAGGAGGATCATGACTGTCTTCTTCCTGCTGACAGGAAAGGTGCTGGTGTCACCTGCTTTCACCATCACTCCCGACCTGCCAGTGGCTGCAACAGAGCAGGGAATGAAAATTTTGGGCCACTCTCCTGTTAACATGCACTGTGATGAAAACGGGTTGCAATGCAGGTGCTTTCTCACCTGTCCCTGGAAGTGAGGCCTCATGACTCACGTATCTGAGGCTTGTGGCACCTCAAAATTAACAAGCTGGAAAGAAAAGTAAATGAATAGATGATGTGTAGATAGGCGTGCTTAGTACTTACAATATGTTTTAGATCCTTTTCATAAAATACAACACTACTACTTTATTTTCTTGAAGTGTTATCTATTTTATGGTGAGGAAAACAGAAGTGAAGAAATCAGTCCTTACTTCCTCGTGTGGAACCTTCCCCAGCTTGCCAAATCATTAACAAATGTTTTAAGCAGCAAAGGGAAAAAAATATGCCATTTGCTCATAAGGCAAAACCATGTGGACTACTAGAAATTACAGAATAATGTGTGAGGTTTAAGCAAAATAAGGGACAGGAGAAAGCAAAACTAACTGTAAATATTGATAAGAGTTAAGTCATAGGGTAGCAGTTAATACATATTTCTTATATGTTCCATAACTCTGGAAAACAGGCCTACAAAAAGAACCACCATTCACAGAAATTAAGCAAAAGCAGTTAAGGCAATATGAACGTGCAGGAAAATAATTAAAATTAGGTAATTAAAGGCATACAAAGTTGGATTTTGAGTCGGAATCAATCGTTACCATTTTGAAAGGGGTAATTTAAAATCAGATAAACCTGTAGAACAGATGTTCAATTTTGCAACAAACCATGCCAGAGGACATTAGTTAAGGAGGCATTTAGTGTCTCTTACGTACTTCGAAATGGCTTCTCTTAAAAGAACAGGATAACCACGATCTCAGGCTTCTAATTACCACATTTGTTATTAAAGAAGATGTTGAGATAAAAGCAGAGAGATTTCTTAGTAATAGAGAGAGACAGCATATTTGTAGTCAGGAGGCATTTTGCATTCCCTGACCTTGGACCGAATGTGTTTAAGGTCATAAACTACACACAGGATCAACACAGCACCATCCTCTTTCATTTTCCCCCATCTTGTTTCCCATTTGCCCACCTTGATCTCATCCTGCATTCAACACACACATCTTGTAGGAGTATTTGCATCCTCAGAAGAAAACTGAAAATGAAATTTAAAAAAAAGAATGCAAAAATCACTGGTAAGCAATCCGTGTTTTTCTCACTATGATTGCATGGGAATGTATTTCTCAGTACTCATTAGATTGGAGATTTTTTGGTTTGGAGCTCTATTTGCTATGCAGATTTATAAATTGATCAAGCTGCTTGGATCAATAGTTGTCGTCATTTGAAAACAAAATGAACGATAAAATATTTGTTTGCAGACACCCAGAGTCAATTAACTGGAGGGTTCTGTGGATTCAGTTCAACCACACAGTGTAATACTGAAGCCCATTCAAATACTGTTCATCCTTCCTTTTAAAGCACTTTTGCTATTAGCTTCAACCTTCAAATCCAAAACTAGTAAAATTCTCAGTTAGTCCAAGGGGAAAGTATTCTGCTTTTGAATGTACCTAGTTCAAATATGTGAGATCTCTCCAATTTCCTACTTAAGTCTTTGGTAGGAAAATCCCCAATGACAATAGCTTATAAGAAAATGTGAATGAGTCATAACTCTTAAGCACTATGAAACAATTTACAGGGATTTAGAAATGTGCAGGGATTATCACAGTTCACACACAAAATTAATACCATCTTTTCCCAAATGCTAGCAGCATTCGTACTTGCTTCACTTTGAAAATTATGTAGTTCGTCATCTCAGTTTGAACAGTCATGTTCCTTTTACAGAAATGTCAGCAAGGATATTAATAGCCTCCTCAATTATTTTTAACAAAAAATAAAATGCTCCCTATCCCATCAGAAATTTTAATTTCTCTGTGTTTCTAATAAGGATGGGATTTTGGTTTACTGCGTTTATGAGGATGGTCAAACACTGAATGAAAATCTCAGTGGGTCCATACAATTAGAATAGAAATTATTCAGAAGTTAGATTATTAGACGTAATTTTCTTCCTTATACAGGAAAACCAAGCAGCTGTACTTCAAAAAGGCATGCATTAGATCTGTAATGGGAAAAGTATTGAAATGGAAACGAGTAAATGGAAGTGATTGCTTTAGTTTCCAGCTCTTAAATACAAAGATTTAAATGTAATTTCTTCAGGATGCTCAGCAAGCACAAACCTTCAGAGTTTTGAGTTGCTCAGACAATCACTTTTAGAGATCTCTGCTGTATATTTTTTCTTGTGTGTCGACAGACTTTCATCTGATGTTCCTTATGGGATGTAGAGATTTCTTTAAATACAGGAAAACATACTTACTCCATTTTCCTGAACTACAGCAATGGCTGTGTTTCCTATAATGGTGTTGAATATCCTTTTCAATTACAAATACTGAGTATTTGGCAATAAGGAAAGGAATGTCCCTTCATTTGGGTGAAATGCTAACCTCCTGGAAGGTGGAGTTTTGTAATTGATTTCAGTAGGTCAAAGATTTCCCTGCCTCTGATATAAAATTAAAGCCATTCTTCATGAAAAGTAAATATATAGTAATGGTACAAAGGATTCTAAATTCAGAGTAGAGTTGGCATTAACTGTGACAAAACCATGTTGAACAAAAGTCGTCTCTGCACTAAGATTCCTGAAGTGTTGCTTGGATCTTGTGGCTCTTAGAGGTGTCAAGATTTGGCTTAATACCTTTGATACTTATAGGTATTTATCTAAACTTTTTATAAAATCTTAAGGCATTTGTCAGTCAGTAAACCATACGATGATAAAAACCCCTCCCATATACAAGCTGCCGTCCTCCCTTCCTTATAGACTAACTGCTGCATTTCAACAATTTAACCCAAATAAACAGTCTTTGAAAAGGAAAAGTTCAGATTATCAGTGCGAAAAAATGGTTTCAGCTTCCAAAATGTACTCACAGCATAGGAGTTGAAAAGGGTTTTGTTTTAGGGGTTTTGTTTGTTTTAATGTGGATCTCCAGAAAGTTGCAGAACCGCATCTCTTTCAAAAGTTTCTGATGAACACTAGGATCGAGGTTCTCACATGTAAAACCTCTATGTATACGGTGTTTTTTGTTTGGGTTTGTTTTCGTTTGTTTGGGGATTTGTGTGTGGGTTTTTTGTTTGTTTTTGTTTTGCAATCTAGGAAAAATATAATTTGGATCAAAATCTTGCCCTACCTTATGCTAGTATTGCTTTGGACTTCTGTGCGAAAGAAGCTCCATCTTACCCACAGTATGTTGATACGAAGAGCATTCTACCCCTAAAACTATTGCTAAGCTATTAAAATAATTAATTTTTTCTTGCTGTCTCTCTTAAATTGCTGGATTTTGCTCCTGTTCTGCCACCTTGCAGTCTGCCTTCAGAAATACAAAACCAAAGTCTTCTTAAAACTCTGTAAAGAAACTTATTCAGACAGAAGATACGTTTACCTCTTGTCTAAGGATACTCCAAAATTCCAAATGCTTGATATACCCTCCAAAACGTACTCCTAGAAACTACGTACAACATGACAAAACAACTTGTCTTTAGACCACCTCTTTGAGTTGTTAGCACATGAATATTACATGTCTGAGACATTAAATTTGCCCCCCTCTCCTTTCTTCCCCCTCTAGGGCATTAGATTTTTTTACCCATTGGAAACGAGACATGAAAATGGAAAACAACATGAACTTGTACCCACATAAATTCTGCTTTGTATTTCTGTGTTTGTTACAAGCAGCAAGGTGTGTAACTCACTCAAAATCAATAGTGGCATGAACTCATTTGGTCTCTCCTAGGACACAGCAGAATTTGCCAGCTGGTCAGAAGGACCTTCATGACGTCGGCTGGCAAAACCTTGCTAGTCTTCAGTGTTGGGTTTGACGTGGCATAATGAAATGCTAACCTGACCTCATCAGCTCAGATACCTCCCTGTCCTTTGGGAAAACAGAGTTGTGCAATATAGCCTGTTTTAATAACTGCTGGCAAATGCAGGCCAACCTTTTCAGTCCAGCAATCACAGCCCGGTAAGTTGTATGTAAGTTCCATTTTTTTTCACTTGGCTTTAAACAGAGGAATAGGCTTTCCAAGTAATCTTGCTGTAAAAATTCTACATTAAAAATTGTTTGCTTGAATGTGTATTTTTTCAGACTGTCAGAAAAGGAGTAAATTCAACCCTGTCTGTCTTCATGTCCCAAGGACAGCCTTAGTTACATTTTGTTCTCAATTGTTTAGCTATGATAGTAGATAGTAAAACAGGTATCTGATAGAGTATATCCTGTAAGAGAGACAGTCATTTATATCGATTCTCATGACTTATGAACATCATAACTTCAGTTGATGTATATATATACCAGTGACTAGGTATATGTAACAAAATACTGCTCAAAGCACAAAAAAGAGACTTCAGAGTTGAATTTCAGTGAACAAAATAGATTTTGTAGTGGGCTGAATAGAGATTTGTTTTTCTAAAGAATGCTAATAGTTGTTACAGTAGGAAAAAGAGCAGAAACACTTGCTACTTTAATATTAGTGTCCTGTTCTAAAAGGTAAGCCTGTACTTGAAAACTCTCAAGTACATGAACAAGAAACAGGACTACACAGCCCAGTGCTGCAAAAGTAAAGGACTGGCACAATATCTGTCATTAACAGTATGCAAAAAGAAGTCACTGAAATAGCTGTCTGTGAATGCAGGGATGCTTCATCCTGCATCACCAGAAGTAAAAATAAAAAGAGAGTTTTTTATTTAATTGACTATAAATACAGTTAAAGTCCCACAGTCCCATAGGTTCAGCACCTTCATCAGGAAAGGCAGAAAAGAAGCTCCATCTGGTGGTGTGGTTGATTGTAATTGCTTTTCAATTTCATCTAATTATAAATACATTCCTCTTCCGCAACAAAATGAAAAATTGAAGTAACGTGTAAAAGATCACCTGTTGTGCAAGTGGAACCAGCATTGTCTAACACTTTAAGATCGGAAAACACTCTAAAATTGGGATCTTCTTCTATATGAAGCAAATCAGTTGAAGCCTTTCAGTACAAGGCACAAATGATCCTGTTAGGGTACTAATCTAGGATAGAAACAGATCATCAAACAAAAATGGAAGGGTGCATTAGCACACTTAAAGAGGTGACCTGCTGCACTCTGGGGTGGGGAGAAGAGAATGCAGAAATCACTGGTTAAAGAATGGAGGAGGTGTGTGGATATGAAGTCAAGGTTGCTGCTGAACCTGCCACATAAAAGCTTATGGAATATTTACAGAGGTATTAAAAAGAATGTTGCTGTCTCATAATAAGGAAATAAACCATTCTTTAGTTAGTATTTTTTATAAGAAATTAAGTTTTCTTCAATGAGTAAATGTCAATTTTGTTGAAAAGATGCTACTTCCTGTCTTGAAAAAAAAATCTTGAACTGTTCTAGCTATAATTGATTTGCAACATCTTACTATGAAAAACAAAGTAGATGCTTGAATCAATTTATGTAGTAAAATGACTAAATTTTATGAAGCTGTTTTCTTCTTCTCTGCCTCCACTATATTCTTATTGCCTGAGCTGTGAAAATTGTAGACATGGACAAAATCAATAAAGGAACCTGGATGCACAGAACAGCTTAGCAAAAATAAAAGATCAGTCTGACCAACACCTATACTGGCTATTTGTGAACAATTGCTGAACAAAATGCTGGTGGCCAGGTAAAATAATTTAACCTAAGCTAATAAATAATTTCAGCTAGTATTTAATTGCAAATATCTGTGTACATGCAACATCTGAGTAATTTCAGCAGTCACTGCTTTGCAGGGTTGGGAGACACATTACCCCAAGCTGATGTTATAAAATGTTATAAGCATTGTAAAATATAAACCTAATTGGGTAAATGATGCTAGGTGTAACCACTGAAATTCTATGCCTCGTTTCACATATAAACTCATGTCTGATACTGCTCCTTCAAGAACCCACGGCAATTTCTCTCAAGACAGTATTCTAGCCCACGTTTGTGCTAAAACCCAGCAATCTTAAACACAGATATACATAAACCTTGTCCTGCAAACTCAGTAAAAAAAAAAAAAAAATACAGTTTGTCTACTCTTTTGTAGTGCCCACATTTCAGTGGGCAGTATGCTGCATTTCATCAAATCAATGCATCATTACCTTTTTTTTAAAGAGCAGAACAGAGTTTAGTATTAATTACCCACCAAAAAAAAAAAAATCCATGTTGAAAGAATGATGGGAATACAGATTCAACTAAAAATTGCCTGAAGTCACACTGCCTTTATAACCTTAATGGAGCCCTTTTTTTTTTTTTTTTTTGAGCGTATCACTTAGGTTACAGCCTTTAATTATGCATTTTAGGCCATTTTTGTCTCAAGACTATCTCATTAAGCACACAAGATAGACAGCTACTCAGTGGTGTTGTCACTGCTTTTCTCTATACTGCTTGAAGTGTAGCTGTAGGCCTTACTTACTGAACAGTATTCCAGTCCTGCTCCAGAGATGTGACTGGATTTCCTCACAGGATCTCAAATTGTGCTCAGCACCACAGTATCTTCAAGTGCCTCCAAAATAGTAGACTACTATGAGATGAAGTATTCCTGATTTTACCATTAGAGAGCTGAGCTGCAGAAAGGCCAAGGTGGAAAGTGCCTGTTTATTCTAAGTACTCATTTTGGAGGTGTGCAACTTGACTGTTAAGTTGCTTATGAGTATAGAATACTTTTCATGGACTCAGAGCATCACTCCTTTTGATTTCAGCTGGAGCTCCAAGTGCTCAGTACCTCTGAAATCTGACTGCTTGGGTTACCGGGGTAGAAAGTTAGCCACATGCAACAGGTATCCAAGTTAGTTTAAGCAATTTGCATAGCATTGCTAGGTGCTTAATGTCAGGAGCAGCAATAAAATTTAGTCCCTTTAGGGTAGAAAATCACTTGCCTCCATGGTAGGACCATCCTTTGCCTTCCTGCGTTCTTTGTAAGTTGAAGCAAATGAAGTCTTAACCTCTCCAGCCATGTATGTAGTATGTGATCATGGCATTAAAATCTTATCAATGAATGTTATCATTATTCATATCATCATGAATTGGAATTGCAACCTTAATAAAGTTCTTTTAAACTCTTTCTTCGTAGTACTGGCTTGGCACAATTCAGAGCAGTTCCTTTTGCAAGCCATCTGCAGATAATACATAGGTCACATTTTTGTATTTAAGAATAAGTTTAGCTAAATATGTTTCCTTTGCTGGTATCTGGAATCTAATCTGCTGTAACTGCTTCTGTCTCCATTTTCATATCCAACTAAAACAAAAGGACAAATCCCACATGTCTCCTATTTCTTTTCGCTCCCAAACTGAGGATACATTTAAAGGCTGCTACTTCCATGATTCAGCGCATCCTTTCTAATGTCTCTGTAATATGATAGACTGTGAACACAACCTAATGGTGCCAAAACTGAGTTATCTTTTTACTCGGTGAAGCAGAAGGACTCAACTCACTTCAGTTTGAAAATACTTCACAAAGAAGCCACTCCTTGTAAGGAGTTCAAAAACAATTCAGTTGAAAGAAGAAAGTTTGTTTCCAAAACAAAGATGTTCTTGAAGAAGAAGGTGCCATTCACACCCTGCTGTCTCCTTGCATTTCATTTCACTTAATGCTGTTTTCAACTTATCCCACCAAGTGAAGAAGAAATGGCATTTCTTACTTCTTCCACAAGAAGGATGCCTTCATTCCCCAAAAGAAGTCCCTTCCTTTTCACTCCAAAGGTTTATCTTGGCCAAATGTAGAGCGTTTTTATTTAATTGTGAAGCCTGTGTCACTTTCCAATTTGAAGATTAATGACTATGTAAAATTTTATGTCTCTTTCCTGCCGTATGTTCAGGGGGTTTTATCATTTTGGTTTACAGCTGAACCCATGTAGTCATCATTTCTTGATTCATATGACAGAACAGGAAGATCCATAAAGTAGTAGTTCAACTACAACAAGATGCAAATCACTTTCTTTATTTTTCACATTTAAGTGCAGTGGATAAAAGCAGTGAAATGGTGACCTTTCAGTATGTTCTGCAGAGAGCTCTAATCCTCCAGGCAACCAGTGGAATCTAAAATGTATGTTTATACTCTTATCTATGCTTCTGTGTCTCATATATTCTTACTTGTTTATAGTCATATACATATAGGGTTTTTTACATATACATATACATGTGTGTATTTACATTAATCTGATAGTTACCCTTCACACAGTCTTTTCAATACTTTCTGAACCAAATGTGCTTCTTCTGATCCTATGAGCTGGTTAAACATTAGCTGCTGTCAAGCACTGTTGGAGGGTGGGGGCAGGGATCATTTTTTTAGTGTATTTCTAGACTAAAACTTTAAATCTTGCTCAAATGAATGAAATGTACAATTCTAATTTTAAACTTGTGTCCTTCACTTTTGATAATGCCACACTGGTCCCTAAACATTTAGATCCTGGTGAAAATACTACTGTTACCTGGGATCATGCTTTTTGTTTGTTCAGGTTTCTTTGATCTTGGGTTATTTTAAATTACTACACAGTTTCTGTTCCTTGATTTCGCACATAATATTGGAGAGAGAAATCGAGAATGCAAGCACTCCAGTAGCTGCTTTTTGACGAACTGTGTGCAGGCTGAGACAAGATCTCCATCCAGCCATGGGGAAACAGGCTTCCAGCTGGCTCAGAGAACAGCCTCCTCTCTCTGTGGCTTTCTGCCTCTGCTGGAAACGTCTCCAGCTTCTCTTTGCTTGAAACCAGCAACCACATGACTCAAAAGCTGTATGGTAAAAGGGCGACTGAAATTTTACTGCTCTAAACCTGCAAGGCCACACTTCTCTGCCCATCCTCGGTGGAAACACCTACCGCCAACCCCACATGAGGCTGCAGAAGTGTGAAGTGCAGCATGGGACCTTTTATGGTTTGGAGGTGCCAGAGGAACAGTTTATTGGGGGAAAAATGCCAGTGGCAATCAAATACTTACTACCAATATGCATTAACAAACAAAGGACTGCACAATAACAGGTACAGGAAATATTACTGATTTACTGATGCAAATGCAAATCCTCTCCTTGAAGCAGTCTGGAAGCTGGAGGTGTGACCGGAAAAAAATACTCTGCACTGGTCTTAAAAGAAAATGCATTCTATTTCTAAATTTACACACTTTTTATTTTTAAGGTGTGTACAGGAAGGTCTGCTTAGTTTTATTTTTCTTTTGCTCTACATTCTGAATCTTCATGACAGTGTATTAAAGTAATAGTGTGGTCTGCTGCAATCCCAGGAGCAGCACTTATGTTTCTAGAAATTAAATGCTCTAAGGATACTACCAAGATAATTTGTGCAGGGACAACTAATATCCTTTAGCACACCAATTCATACAACTGGAAAAATTATGTACATATTGAGAACAAAACTGCTCTGATGAGGTTAAAACGATCATGTTAACTGGTTAGTCAATTTGAGGAGAAATAATGCCTGTTACATGTAGTGCCAGGAAAAGAGACCTTAGCAATGGAAAAGGCAGCATTTTTTCATCATCTTGTAAAGGAACAAGGAGAAGGACACATATTTATTGCCTGTGGAAGGTTGAGGTGGGTGTGGCAGTGCTCCCTAGGACATTTCTCAGAAGATGAAGGGGCAACCAGAGGAACATGGCCACAGATTGTTACCTACTGCAAGGAAGTGTGAATAGAGAACAGAGTGCATGTGCCTTATTTAGCCATAATGTGAAAGCCAGTTGATTTGTTTAGGAGGAAACAGAAAGTGCATGATAATTCCCCCGTACCATGCAGGTCCCTGACAAAATTTGATCCTTAGGAGGCAAGTGGAGGTGAAGACCCTGCTGGAATATAGGTGAAATACACTCCTGTTCCCCAGAACCTTATTGAAGGAATTCTCCCTCACATTTCTTCTCCCACTGTAATACCACAAAACTGAGCGAGTATGAGGTTTCCCAGATTACAGAGGGCTTTAAAAGAAACAGATCAGATGGTTGGTTGTTTGGGGTTTTTTAATTGCATTTTGAACCAAATCCAAGCACTTTGTCCATGGTTAGTGTTCAGTTTTCTTCCTGGCTTGAACAACTGATTTTGGAGTAGCTTGGCAGATCTTTGTCTGTAATCCCCTTGAAGAACAAGTCTGAGTGGGATCTTTTTTACAGTCCATCACTGCTCTGACTGTATGGACTGAAGTGCATAAAAAAGAGGGCATAAAACTAACTGTCCACATATTCCACTTTCCTCAATGAAAAAAACAGTTGATGTGGATCAAGTGAATTGCTGGGTTTCACTCTTATGCACTTTATTAATTTCAGATGAACATGGCACCAGAGGTATCTGTTTGTTTTTGTTTTGCAAAGTACTAATTACAATAGCCAAGGTTAAAAGATTTAGACAACTTCCTTCCTTCTGCAGTCAACACAAGTTAAGACAGAAAAAAACAGTGACTGAAAAGAAAAATACTGTGATTCCTCTTAAAGGCACAAACTGATTTCAAAATACTGTGATAATTTCTTTAGATTTGATTTTACGAAACTCTAAGTCTCTTAATAATGTTGTTTTTAAAATCAGAAAATCCAGCAGAAAGACTGGGTTAAGTAAAAAAAAAAAAAAAACAAACCAACATGCAGGAAGCATCTCGGCTTCACAACTAGAGATATTGTATATAATGTGAAGATCAGACTTTTTTTTCCAAACTCTGTCATTTTATGCCAAAACAGAATTGAATTTCACCAGTCTCAGGAAATATTTGAGATCCTTCTGTATTCCAAGCTATTACCACAAGTTGCCTCAAGGCAATCCTTTCCTCTTTACTACAGCCTGTAACTGTCTTCAAGCAAGCAGAAACCGAATTGCTGTAGAACTGCATTACCCTGTCACAGGCTTGAAATCCTTGGGAAAATTGTAATAGCTTTAAATCTTAAATTACTTAAAGCTTAAAAGGTTTGAAGGTTTTTTGCAATATACAGAAATCTCATACCAAATTACTCATAAAACTGTAACAACCACTATAAAAATGTCGGCATTAACCAACAATTAGCATACACACACATAGATATATATAATTTAAAGATGGGGACATTCTGTATGTTGCAGCACAGACTACTGGACTGCTAAGTGTGTTTTTTGTAATGTAGTTCAGTATCTTCAGGAAGTTCTTTAAAACACACATACTCTATAATAGAACAGCCAACATATATGAGTAAGAGTGGGTTAAGATTAATTGCCTGACATATGAACCAACAGTGATGTGAATCCTTCAATGTTCCACTGAGCTGCAGTGAACTACACTCCTGCCAGAATCCATAAAATACTGACTTAATATGCAATCATAAATCTTGACTCTCTTGACCCTTCCCTCATTTCTTTTCCCATCCTTTTGTATCTCTAGCAGAAAGCATAAATTTTATTAGCATAGAGAAGCTCACAAAAACCCCAAACAACAGAATACCCACAAAACAAATAAAAGCATACCAAAACAAAACCAAAACACACACACGCAAAAAAAAACCACCTCCACATGCTGCTCTGAGTACAGCTGAATTTCCTGCCTGGCTCCCTGGGCTTATTGATCAGAGGCTTGAACTTTTCACCCCTGTAGTAGAACAGGCTTTCTGATCATCGCAGTGTGATGCTCATCTGCGCACAAGAGGCTTCTGCTTGCGGGTATGGTAATAACTGACATTAATCCTGTAGTGCTTTTCCCATTAATGTTTGCATGCTTTAAATAAGAAGGTTACCCTGATTACATAGCCTTTTTTTGATTAATAATAATCTAATCAATCCAATTTATACAGGCAATGTGAGTGCAGAATTCAGCCCTCCTCCACAGGCATTAATGAGCCCGTGAGTTCACGACGTGCTGTTTCATCCCAGCCTCACGCAACGGAGGACACAAGCTGCCGAGTTCAGAGTAGCAGCATCCTGATGTCACTCCAGCACACAAGCACTCAGAAAGCACGTGCCCTGAAACAAGTTGGTCTGAATTAGCCTAACGAGCCAGAAACGCTGGACCAGTAACTCCTGGATAGCATTCCCCCTTCCATCGGGCAATCATGGCTCTGTAACACAGACCTCACACTGCGAGCTGCTCATAGCTACTAAGCCAGCGACATGGAGCAGACCCAAACATAGACAGAGCACCAGGAAACTGCAGTCTGTGCCAATAGCAGAGCCTGGGCCTATTCACTGCTGAAGCTGGACCTGTAACGTAACATAAATTCACCAGACTGGAACATCTAGAAAGCCAAATTGCTGCAGTTGTTGGAATAAATGACCTTACTGTAACCTATACTTTTCTTCATTAACAAAGTTCCTGTATTAATATACATTGAAGAAACTATTCCCCTCAACATATCTTGAGAGAAATAATCACTCATGTACGCCTGAGCGTTAACAATGAGTGTCTCATCAAGAAATAGCGGGTCAAGATCTCCATAGGGCAAGCCTGAGATCTCTAGAACAACTGTTGTAAAACTGACATCAAGTCTCAAGTTTGCCAGCTCGATGGACTTTTGGTGAACAGACATGAGTGGTGTTTAAGGTAAGGTTACATACAGCCTCATACAGTGTACAGAAACAGCACCTACCAAG